GCACGCGATGCCCTCATTATCCAACGACTCATTCCTTAATATATAATATAGTTCTTTCAGTTATCCCTTTCGTTTATATATACTTTTAAATAGTGAAAAATAAAGCTGCACCCATCAAAATCCGAAAATAGGACACTTGGAGATGTGTTGTGTTGAATTTGTCATCATGTACCTAAATGTACATGATTTATTATTAAAAACCTGTTGACTGTAGGTGTTGCTGTTCGATGTGTTCGCGTTGACCTATCGCCCACCACAAATCGTTTAACAATATAATTATTAGAATTTTATAATAGTGTTAGAAGATTTTTCACTCGCACCCTCACCGTCATTAAATCCTCCTCCCATAAAAATCATAATCAGTTAATGAATAATTAAAATATTAATCATAATTTTTCCTCCCCACTCACTCTTAAAAATCACTAATGCTTTCGTTATTTTTCATATTACTCCTCTCATAGTTAAATCGTTAAGCGTAGAACCTACAAGATTTGGTGTTCGGAGAAAAAAAAAAGGAAAAAAAAAAACTGTGATTGAACAATGTAAAAACGTGCACACGGAATAATCAAATCGTAAAGTGCCCTTTCGATGATGCAAATTGCGATTTTAAAAATACCGCAAATTTCATAGTTGAAAACGCACTCTGCGCTGTGATTTATCAGTGGGTGATGGTATCTTAGGCATGAGCGAGAACTTGAGAATTGATGGTGGATGATAATGCTCTATCTCACGTATTAGTGACGGCACGTTTGTTCGCGACGTATGTTGTAATCGTTGAACGTAGTAGCTGTCGTCGCATTGTCGTACGCGCGCACCGCGCACGCACGATAATTCACTCTATGACAATGTATTCATAGTGTCATTGTTTGTAGCTGATAATCCCAATGAGCTTGCAACAAAATCATTTAAATCAATTTTCCTTGATTCGGGATGTTTGAATTTAAAGTGCGTGCGCAGATTGTCACTACGAGTGTACGTGGCGTGACAGAGAGGACACTCAAACCTGCCGGGGAAGTGGACGTGGTAGTGGTTCCTGATGTGCGTCACGATCTTGCCGCACAGCTTGCACCTGTGAAGGTTGCAGCCGCCTGGCACCCGGTCAAAGGTCAGCCGCATGTGCCAGGCTCTTGAACCTGCAACATCAACACAAGACAAGTCACTGTTGCTGCCCGATAGCCCTAATTCGGGGGAGACCCGGGGGAGACCCAGGAGGAGACCCAGGGGGAGACCCGGGGGATGGTCTCCGATTATTCCCATCATTCCCATTACAACTCTTCTCAAAAATTCTCAAATCTATTCAAAATTCTCACTATACCATTGTCTTACGAGTGCCTCAAGCATTTATATTGCCCATATCTCATCATTGTTCACCTTTTTTTTATTTATGTAAATTTATGGGAAACCCTGTGTCAGGTTGACGTGGTTTTACCGTTATTTAATTATTCACAAATTATTCGAGTTGTCCGTTCATCTTTTTGGAGATCTTAACGAAATTGGAAATTTTTTATTCGTTCACGTGAATTTTATCAAGCGTTTGAAATTGAAAATTGGAAATCAGAAATCAGAAATTTGGAAAATAATTGAGGAATGAGAAGATATCGGCAGTAACTCCTTAAGTCACACTTATTTTTTTAATCTTTACCACCCGGGTTTTAGAATTTGAGAAAACAAGTTTCTTGATTCTAGAAGATTTAGTCTATTTTTTTGAAATTTATAGGCTTCCTTTATTAACCAATGGCACAGCTGTTTCCAGGATTAAGAAACTTTTTCTCTCTGAATAATTTTTTGTTAGCGCCTCGTCCTCGGGTCTCCCACTAAACTACCGATTTGTTTAAACAATATGTTTTCTTAATCCCCTGAGAATCCCGCGTTAAAGAAGTTACTGAAAGGTTTCTCAAGGTCCCAGTTCTATCGCATTCCTTGCACCGGTGTAGCATGTATGTGTGCGAAATTTTTTGTACAGCAGCGAGTGTGTGTTTTTGTGCGAAAAAGCCAAATCCTGGCTGCCCTTATTTCAGTTTATTTCTCTCTGGTTTATTCTGTCACCCGTTTTATGCCTGTACAGGATTTATTATTATTTTTTCCTATTTATTTTTCATGGCTTCCGAATAACCCCAGGATGCTGTACACTCGGCGATCGGCGTTGTGCCAAATTGTCAAGTTGCTCAGGCCATTGGGCTTTCTTTACGGCTTTTAAACCGACAATTTTAGTCTTGAGGTCGATGATTCGTTTATTGATACTGATAACCGTTATCTCAAGAGATACCGCAAAGGGACTGCACTGAGAGCAATTTTCTTTTTTATCCAAAATGAAATGATTGAGACAGACTCAGAGGAAATGAATTTCTCCCTCAGTGCAGAATCTACTGAGAAGCCTGACAACTCAACAACATGACACACGTCGAATATTATTTATTTATTTACAGAGTACCAATTCATCTGCCACTTTATAGACCGTTTATTCATCCCTGTGGTACAGTCTTCTCTATCGGTTAGACATTAATCTCCAGAAGTGTGAATTACCACTGATTAATTATTAAGGACGAGGTGTAAGTAGCGTGGCATTAATTAGAGGCAGCGATGGGATATTCGATGGGGATGCAGGACGTGGAGACGAAACGTGAGAGAGCTGAGGTAAAAGACCAGAAGAAATATCCCGGGACAAATTGATTAATGAAAATCACGTAAACAAGACATCACCATCTGCGGTTCGTTAACACCGCAGAATAATGAGAGTTAAAAAAATTAATGAAAAGAATAAGCGAAAAGAGAAAAAATAATTGCCATCCATTCGTACAATCACACACAGCCCAATTGTCCCCATTTTATACAAGCATCATCTCTGATTGTAAATCGTTGTTTTATTTATCCACAAAAAATATGATTGAAGTACAAAAATATTACATATTTACGCTTAAACCTAGTATTTACTTTTTCCTCTAAATAATATTATTACTATTAATTCTCTCGATTAATGTCTAGTTAATTAATCGTTCCAACACACAGTTCAACGCTCATGTTTTTACGAACAGTGAATGTTAGTCGAGATAAATAAATTAGGCCCTCACTGAAGTAGCATTTAAGGTACTTTATGTGAAGTGGAGATTTCTTTTAATTAGGAATATGGCACTAATGATCGACAGTGGGTGGTTATTTATCGAGATTCTCAAGACTGGACACGAGTTTTTTTTTTACTCGAGTGCCAGAGGTTTGAAGTCTATTTTCTGTAATAATTTTGGTAGAAGGGTTGTAGATTATGGAAAAATTATGAAAATATTATGGAAAAATTATGGAAAAATAATGGAAAACGTGGGATCTGGGGATGATCGATAATTAACAGGTGAGAATGTGGTAGAAGGACTGGGGATGAGTTACTCAAGGGTCTTGGCTACTGGCGGATGTTTCACGCGTTATGAAATTACATTTTGGACATGTTGTCCATGACGACGAGAATTTCCCCCAAGCGTATTGGCACATTATCAACCGGGGATCGATGTCAACGGATTGGGCCTAGGGCATTTACGAGGTGGGATGTTTCATCCGGCGATGTGGTAGAGCGAAGAATTTCGTTCGAGTGGAATGAACGTTCACCAGACATTTCAGGAATAATTATTCACCGGATATATCGATTTACCACGTTTTATCATGATTTGTCAACAATCCAGTAACAGTTTGCATGAGGAATTGATCTCATCCATCTTCGACGGGAATTGATACAGAATCAACAATTTTCCACCAGAAAAATTGTAGAAACTCTCTGTATTTCGTTGATAAGAGATACAACTACTCGGGAATAAATAGAGTGAAGAATTATTGAGTGCCAGAGGAATAGGCACAACCTGGAGTTCCTGAAAGATGATTTTAGTCTGTTGAAGGGTGGATTGAGCGTCGAGTTGAGGAGTAACATCCGTCTCGTGGAGTAGACGAGAGTGAGTTTGTAAGAGCGATGAAAAAGCCAACTGGGTTATCCACCTCGAGGAAGAGAGAGCAGAGGGGCGAGTGGTACGACCCAAATTTTCTATCACTTTGGAATAAACTCGGTGGTAAAATATCACCGAGGACGAGGCGAAGGTGTTGGTGCCCTTTTGCTGAGATTTTTTGAGACAAGGTGGGAGGTAAACGGATACCAGCTCAATCGAGCGTGTAACAATCTTGAAACGACATTTTATACGGTCAAATGGTTGACACTCGTGTACCCAAGGATGGAAAAAAAAAGAGAAAAGAAAAAAACTTCTCGTGTCTACAACACGTGTTGAGTATTGAACAGTGGGAGTAAACAGCACAAAGACTAAATGTTCCATGTGAAAACTGACGTAATCCTCGGGGCGGGGGGAGTAGAGTCATGCAGACAATCCCCTCTTTCCCCTACATTTTTTCTTCCCCTCTATTGAGGGTGAAAGAGACAGCCTCTGAGGGGCTGAGGTGATTCAAGGGATTGAGGGGATTGAGGGGTCTGAGGGGGCTGAAGGGGATGGAGCAGATGTTCCTGGGATATTTAATGACGAAATGAATGGAGAATGGAGAACTATCCCCACCGGTCATAGGTCTCTTCAAAACAATTTTCCACATCCCTCTGTGAATTTTTCACGGAAAATTTTTTGATACAACTGACAATCTCACATCGTGTGCTTGGCTCTGATGTGCGCCTTGAGATTATCACTCCTTGTAAATATATTATTGCAGTAAGGGCATTGGCATTGCTGTGAGTGGTGGGAGCGTTTGTGGTGCCAACGGTTTGTCACCGTTTTTCCACAATGGAGACATCTGTAAATCTGTGGATGGCCAATGCTATCGTGTGCCAATGGTACAAACATGTCGTATTTATGGGACACTGCTCTAACCGAGCCCCTTGATACTCTGGGACGATTGGGTCTCATCGATGATGATTCCGGTGGCGGTGGTAACCAGCTGGACAGCTGGGACAAGTTGTTTTTACCTTGACAGTCGACTCCCTCTGTCTTCAGTGACACCAGTGAGACACCAGTGGCCAACACTGTAACAGAGATAGAGGGAGCGAAAGAGCGAGATGGAAACAGCCAGCAAAATCATGGGGACAAAATATTTCTTTATATTGTAAAGAAAACATTTTCTTTTTCAGCGGTTTTCTGATTTTTTTTTTTTTCGAGATTTGGGAAATGGTCACGAGAGAAGACTAGAGTTATAATAAGTCGATCTGGTGTATTCACTGGAGCACAATAAAAATCTCGAAATTCAAGGGAGATAGGAAATTTTTGAATTTTTTAGTTGAAAAATTCACTATCTATCTTTATTCTCGAAATATTCCTAAAGAAGTCAGGGGGAGAGATAAATCGACTTATTATCGTTTAGGGTCTTGCTAATGAATTTTTTTTTTATTCGAGAACTCGATTGCCTGGCTGTTGCGATGGTTTATTTAATTTCATTTCTTCAATCCGATCTCAACAGCCGGGATAATATTTTTCGAATTGATTTTCAGGTTTTCGAATTCAGGAAAAATGCGATATTCATTCCCCAGCGATAAATCGTGAGAAGTAGAGCCTTATATATTTTTTAACGTTAAAAAAAAAATTCCAGATGAAACCGTAATAATTTCTTGAATCTGGAAAATTCATTTTTAACGTCGAGCCATTTTTTCTCTAGCATCAAGAAACTTTTTCTCCACGTGAAACATAAAATGTTAGAGAGAAAAAAAAAAATGAAATGGTTGAGGGGAGCATCTACCGGAGGGTAGATTCTATTTGGGAGCGAAATCTCTTTCTCTTTTTTTCCCCTCCGGGTGGGGCCCCCAGTGGGCCATTGCACCCTGGGTAAATGCATTTGCCACTCATCAATATCGATCGCCCTTGGTTTATGTACCATTGTACAACTGAGTGAGATTAGCCAAGGGAGGGAGAATATAAATGTGAGGAGGGTTCGAGTGGATGCAGGCGAGGGGAGATAAAACGGGGGATGACAGCGGGGAAGGGTTGGCCAAATGTCGGTAGGACACAAGAGATGCGATAAATCGGCGTTCCTTACGGATATATATATATTTATTCCTCTTTTTCGGGAAACAAGCCACTTCACCTCTGAGTATACGACTAATTGATGTGCACGGGCGTTAATTAGGTCTACCGCTGGCACTCGAGTACCTCGGTACTTATTTATAACAAAAGGGATGGAAAAATCGTACATGTAATCCACTAGTGATTTCATGCTCCAGTTTTTTCTCCACTCTCTTCCACCTCTTGCTCTTCATTGTCGACATCAAATCGAAAACCACCCACTGATGACAAATCGTCAATCGAGATGTATTAGGGAGAAGATAATATAAATAAATAAATACACGCACACTCGGGATAGAGGGGGAAGGGGAATAATTTAGTCCCGATTGAATTTCTTAAGCCAAAAAGTTGTTAGTCAAATCGCAATAGTTTATCGATGAGTGAGACGTTTTGCCATTGATTAATTGAGGAGGGGCCCGTGGACCACTCGGTAATGCCCAAGTTAAAAAGCTACTTATTCCAGCTTGACGGGACAACCGATCGTTGTTCGATCGATCGAGAAATTCATCTTGGCTGAGTTGCCGGATGAGAGGACAGGAACTGTGGTTTTTTAAAAAAAAAAGGTGAATCATGAGGACGATAGAAAATAACGGAGAGAAGCCAGGAGGTATTGGAGGGGGCACGAGGGGTACAGAGAAGCCAGTAAACCGTAGCAGTTGATACATCTCCGGGTATGAGAAAACTCTTTGCGGGATTTTGTCGCGAAGCGTTGATCCTCTTATCGAGAGAACTGAGGCAACTGTAATAAGGGTGAGATTAGATGTTGGTAAGAAGCTTATTTAACGGTCTCGGGATGTATACGTTATGCGAGGTATCCAGAGAGACTGGTGAATAGTGTCTTTGGCCTCTTGAAAAGTAATACTTTGAATGTTAGATAATAACCAAATGATTGTGCAATGCACTTCCCCCTTTGTATTCAACTGCGGTTTATTATAACTATCGCGTCTTCTCTGTCACTCTGGTTTTCCTCACTCATCTGTACATTATTATTCCAAGCTTCTCTCGTATATGTCTTTGATCGAGTAACAGCGGCTCTGTCGCTCAATTATTTCACCTTTGATAAATACAGATATTCAAGATGTTAACTATCTCGGGCCTCTCCTCATCCTGTCATTTACGTGCTTAATTCGTTAGTACATTCATTGTTGTTATCAACAGCACCGAAGGCTTCAGCTGGTATTATTGGTCGGTTTTTAATTTAAAAAATGTCACTCTGCGGGTGCAGATGTTTCGATAAATATCGAGGATTCTAGTGATTTTGGAAATTACCAGGGGCAAGCCTCCGGTGCTTTACACATTCTCATCGATGTTGTCGTGTTAATAATATTATAGATGGTGAAAGTAATCGCGATAATAACTACAGGCCACTAGCGCTGGGAGAACATAAATCTAATCGCTTGTGTTTTACATTTTTTTTTTTGGGGGGGGTTTGTGGGAATTTGAATATTTAATGATTCTTGGAAATTGAGGGTGAGACGTGATTTTTATGGTGATGAGGGGGAAGGGATTTTTTTTTTGTCTTTCAGTTATGGGAACCACTCGTGAGAGCTGGATTTCGGATGGCGATGAGACTGGGATGAGTGGTACAGCCAGTCGTCGGAGGATTGGATAATGGATTAAGGATACAGTTAATACCTGGAAAATGGAGGAGATTTGACATCCTGTGGCAATTATTCGAGTCTTTGCCGATTGACAATCTGATTTCGGTGGAATGTTGGGGTATTTCGGTGGTTCTTGGTAGACATGAACAAGGCACCCAAATGAGAAGTCTTCTGAAGAATCTGGGATTTACATTACAACCTGTGGCCTTCGGGGGACTAGTTTATCATGACTATTTTCGAGCCTCCATCGACCCGGAAATCCTTTACATTTCTCGTTATTATTATTTTTATTTATTCTTTTTTTCAGTCTTTCCGATTATTTCTCGAATGTGTATTTTTTCGTTGATTCACAACCTTTCGGGCATATCGCGATATAAATATTAATATACTTTTAGGTAAAATATAATACTGCATTTAAAAAATATATTATTCTTAGTTCTGTTTCAGATTTGCCACTTTCTCTGCTCCCTGGGTAGTTGGGGAATTTGCGATGGAATATTCTTTCGATAGATAATTCTTGATAAAGATGCACGGTCACACCAATTGGCGATTGCATCTATTGAATACTTTTTCCTCTCTCTCTCGCTCTCTCTTGCCTTTACTCTATGATATTCCCACCCCCTTTTTTCGTTTTTTTTTCTCACACTTTAAGCGAATCTGAATGAGAATGTTTCAATCGCTCGAGTGGAATAATAAGGAATTTGCGGTGAATATTAAAGCGCGTTTCGCATAACGAAGGCGTTTCCTTGGGAAATGTTGACAATATTATTGCGGAAATATACGATAAGCTGTGGTGAAACGAAACTCAAGAGTTTCTCAGGGACTTGGGTGAAGGATGGTGGATGGTACGGGGGATGGTAAAGAGAGAATTTAGAGATGAGTGAAGAGGCAAGTCAGCAAAAACCGATACAACGGTTTCTCGTGCCAGTGGAAATGTTGGTGTGAGCAAGAGACGAGGTAACGAAATACGAGTACGACTTAAACAAGATGAAACGGATGGGGGGTATAGATGTACGAAGAAACTTGCATCACATCCGTACACATTTTATGGGTTTGTTGTGGGGGTGGATTGGGTGGAGTTGAAGAGCTTTCGTCGAATGCTTGTCGCATCTTCCACTGATTCAAACCCCGAAGGAAATGCAGACTAGAGGAGGAGAGAGACTAATATTTTTGTGAATAAATGAGTGGTGTTTTGTATTATCTACCTGCGTACGTCGGTTTAAATTGTACTCAACGAATTGTGGAAAATTGTGGGCCGGTGGTACGTCTACCCCGGGGTAAATAATCTCAATCCCTCGGCCATTGTTAATCCGGTGTCCGGTGGTAGACAGAGAAAGGGCTGATACATTAAAAATTAAATCCTAAATTATCGAATATCAGAGTATAAATAAATAAATAAATTAAATTAAGCACTCGATTTACTGAAATGGCACTAATTTTTAGAAAATAGATTACTGATTAACTTAATTAGGAGGTAGATTTTGATACCAAAGTGCGATCGGAGATTCGGTTATTATTCACTGGTTGTCATTGCAATCACTGATATTCGTGTGATTCAATTGTACCGATAATCGATTAGGATTTCATGAGTGTAATGGCGATTTAGCTCCGATCGTTTTTGCGATTATTATTATTATTATTTTGCTTATTCCACTGACTTAGTGCGTTGGTGTGCACTTTTTATTTGAAATATTAGGTGCAAGGCTAAGTGAGATACGACTCGTCGGTTTTGGCAAGGAAGTGTTTAGCCTCCATACGCATAAAAGGAGATATCATCGATCCTTCTCGTATTCCGTGTTTGAGTTTGATATGCCTTTTGAGATTGTCGGACCTTGTCAATGATATCATGCATATCTGACACTGATACTTGTCTGGAAAATGTGATTTCATGTGTTTTTTTATATTGGCAACGGTCTTACCGCATAGCCTACAACCCCCTGCACCGAGCTGTCCGTCTAATTTATTCTGATTTTCATAGTCAATATCCTTGTCAATTTTCGTTGCCGTTGTTCCTGGAATTTGGAATAATCCCATTGTTTCAGTGATCAAATTTCATTCGCACAAATTTCTTGCTTTATGCTTTTTTTTTTGCTTGTTGCACACTCCCAAAAGTCATCTACTGTTTTGCACTCTTCTACTTCTTGTTTGTTGCCAAGATAGGTAAATAAAATAGAACATAAATAGATGAGAAAGTTATCCAGTATATGCAGCACAGTGCGAAGATAGTTGTTTTTTTTTTGAAATCACACTTTTTGCTCTGTAGCATCGAGGAAACTCAAACCGCCATATTTTCTCCTCCGAACGCTCAAAGTACTACTTCATAACATCTACATATTCATGTTTATCTTCGGATTCTTGCGAAGATCAACGTGAGAGAGAGGAAGAGACCAATTGATACAAAATGATAAACCAAAGATCACAATTCAAACAGAGGAAAATCACAGAGCTTGCTGGGGAGGGAAGGATAGACATCGACAGGATCAATAGTCCGTTGAAGACAAATTTTTTTTTGTCGAGGGAATGCACTCCCCCGATATTTGGCTTCAACACCTTTTCAGCATTCTCATTCATCACACGAGAACCCGAAGAATTCTTAAAAGAAGACGACGGGCTGCGATTTGCAAAAGACGCGGACAGGATCAATTGGATTAGGGAATCGAGGAGGAATCGGATTTTAAATTTGAAACGAGTGGATTCTGGTGAGAGGGGAAGAGCATGCAGGACAAGACTTTATAGAAATAATTCCTCGTAAATAATTGGTATTTGCACAGCAATTGGAAAAACCGTTAGTTCGGTTTACGAGGTGAAAGATAAAATAATAAAATAGGAGAAATGAGGGAGGCCCAATTAGATAAGGCGAGAAAAAGAGAAAGAGAATAACACTCGGTAGAGTCCATCGCACATTCAGCCCAACGCACCAAAAATTCAGACAATAACCTAGTGTCCGAGCTTTCAAAACAATACTAACAGAAAAATCACACTCTAACACTCACACCCAACAATTGTTAAAGAGCTTCCCTTCGTGTGTTTAATTGAAATATTTAACATTGTCTGTAAAGATTTGTGAGAATTTGTGAGTCAGGGAGAGATTCTTTCGGCATTGTTACAACATTTAAGGAACAGGCGACACCATCACCACACAATAAGGGCCAAGTGGGCAAACCCATTATTCCGTTGATTATCTTTTTTCAGTACATTGTTAAAAAATTATTGACTCAATATTAATACTCTAAATAAAAAATGCCTTATTTCACGAATAAATCTGTCAATATCTCTTCAATTATTCCATGAACGTCGAGGAAAATAATTAATTTTCGGGGAAATTTGAATCTTCATGATTTATCCCCTACAACCGAAATCAATGGTCTCCGTGGAAGTGACTAGTCAATCTCATTCGAGTGTGAAAATTTCTCACTCAAAGTCCATTAATAAATCAATGAATTCATTGAATTTCCAATAAATTTTTCCAACTTGCTGATTTTTGAGAAAATGACTAGTTATGCCCCACGAAATCTCAATGATTATCAAATTCGGATGAATACACGGAAAATATGATACATATGTACAGAAAGGGAAGTACTCGGTGGGTTTTCTCTTCATAATAATTTACACTCGGTTACACGCTCCGGAAAATTGTTGAAAGGGTGGAGGGTGGGAGGCAGGGGGATGGAGGATGTTGGAGGATATTGGGGTGGTGAGAGGGGGGGATGCTCATCTCGTACAGACTAGACCGTAAAACGCCAGTTTCCAAGGAGTCATTCCAAACATGCATGCAATATTTTCCTCAATTTTACCGAGGCACCCAGAGGCGCATTTAACCTTTAACTGATAATTTTTATTGAATTATGGGAATAACCGTTACATCTGAAGTAACAAGTATAGTTAATTGCTGCTCGTAAATTGTGCATTTTGTTTCTCCTCGCAATGACTTTTGTGGGTTATTTAGTTGTAATAGTTGTGGGTAAATGCACTTGAGCTCCTCGGTACAACTTGAGGGTTTTCTCCAAGTGGGTAAATAAAAAGAAGGTACGAGAGGTAGGATGAAAGTGTTCAAAAGTCTTACCATCAAGTCCGTCGACCGTTTCAGGTGGATTGTGGTGCTCAGACGGTTCCATTCCTGGTACACCGTCACTGAGAGGCCCCACCGCCGGTCCACCATCTTCCGCTAACACTCCGATTGGATGACCCTGGGGAAATAATAAGTAATAGGTGAGAAACTACAGGTCACATCAATTATCCTCTGAGAGAAGAACCAACACTCGAATTTTGTAGGTATCAATTATTTATTGGCATTGTATTCTTACATTTGATTCATCTTTCATAGATTTTTTTCTTTCTGATATATTTTGGTATTCTTTTTCAATTTCAACGTGCAATAATTATCTGCTGTAACGGTAGAAATATATTTGTAGTTTTCTTTTCTGTCTTAGAATTTAACAGGGTAACGGTTTTTCTCAATTATCATGAGAATAAAAATTCAACGAAAAAATATTAAAATTTACTTTGAATATTAAAGACAGTAACTGATTTTTCAGTTGCATAAATTTGTTGTTCTTTAAAAATTTATATTATCAATGCACTGGTGAAAAATTTGGTGGTGGAAATTTTCAGAGACAGTGCATTTTAATTATCCATTTTTGGAAATTTTTTCATTCGGTTTTCATTCAAATCGAAATTGAATAAAATCTATTTGTATTTATTTTATTTTATTCTTATTAAATAAATAAATCGTTAACGGATTTTTTAGCACGAAAATGCCGACGAATAAATTGTATGAGTGTCTTTAAAACGAAAAGGCGCGTAAACAAAACGCAACTGAAGTGAGGAAATTTTGCCGAAACGAATGACGAATCAGCAACAAAAACAAAAACACGAAGGTTTTGTAATTTATTCACGTACGCGTATTTGAATGTCGATTTGATCAAGGCCTTAATTTTTATCATTCAGCAAATTCCTCATCCGATTCCTCGGTCAACCCTTCCGAAACGCTCACTCTCCTAATTCAATATTGCACCCATCATTCGAATTTAAACTTTCCCGTACAATCATAAATCTAAAATTATAAAGTAATCTCAATTTTAAATCCGAGATAAATCATTTGCATGTTGAAAATTAAGGCACATACAGTACTCGATTGCTCACACATTGAACACAGTTTACCTGAGGCAAGAGTTGTACAAAAAAAAAATACAACTCAACACAAAAAAAAAATATCGACTAGCTGCACTTGAAACTTAAACCGTGAAAAAGTACAAAAAGCCATAAATGCAATAACAGATAGAAATAAAGAAGAAGGGATTATCTACATAAGGAAAAATTAACAGTTTCCCTGATTTTCAAAAAACCAGTTCTTCTGCATCTACTAACTTCCCTATTAACAAGAAAATTAACTGTAAAGAAACATGTCCTCTACGTGAAGTAGACAATAGACAAGATAAAAATTTTAGTGGCACGGTTGTAACGTGGATTTATCACAACTGAACTTCTCGGTATTGTCACCAAGAAAGACAATATCCCGACAAACTAGGCGATTTATACACACGGAAACATGAAACTAGTAAATAGACGTGCAAGATGGAGGACACAGGAGGTATGTATCCAGAGAGAGAGGAAGAGAGAGAGACAGAGAAGCCCTTTAGTAAACTTGTCAGGATCAAAGAGAAGAGGTCCATCAAAATGATATTCCACATATCTAGGATTGGCCCGAGTGAAAACTATAACCGCAGCCCTTTGTCTCGTCCTCTTTGGAGACACATATATTGTGTGCCTTGCATTTATCATGATGATTAACAATCTCGAGACGAAAATTTCCATTGCCAGCGGCAAAGGAGGTGCGTATCTCCGGTACCGTGGCACTCCATTTTCTGCAGTATTTACAGAACATTAAATTTGATTGCTCATCATACTGCAGCCACGGATAAATATCAAGCCACGATGATTTGAATCTACCAGTCTTCCTACCCGTTTGCATTGGCCGCTGTATATTGCCGCACAATGTCGATTGTATTACCGATATTCCCTGTCTAAATCCATCAATACCCATTGACTTCGATCCAATCGTACTATCGTCATTATAAATATTGTAACAACTCTCGGTATTTCGATTGCAATAGGGATTATCTGGTATTCTAAAGGCTCTATCATACGCATTGCAATCAATTTTTTGAATTGTATTCTTAATGGGCCTTATACGCTTGTCGTAGTACTCCGGTGACATATCGAGTGACATTGAACCTCCAGCCATGATTGTACTCTCGCGACTGTTTTGAAAAGAAGCCGCGCCTGCTGGACGTTCCGGTTGTCTCATTAAGCTCTGTACATCCATTGTTTCATCATTCTTCCCATCTCCCTGAACATCCCACTCCACACTAGTCTGTCAACAGAGAAGGAAAGGATGTGTGTTTAATTCAACACATTCTCAATTGTCTTTTCTTTCACGATTTATTCAAATATTTCCTTCAACACTTATCGTGTCTTTTTTTTCAATCTCTCTTCTCTTTTTATCATTTGACATTTATAACAATCCCTTCCTTTCAATGTTTCGACTCAGTATATTGCGGGACATCGTTCACACCCTGAACGATGGGAGTGGTTAATGAGCGATGAATCGAATGGGAAGATAGCGTTTTTTTTTTTTCGGGGGGGAGTTTTTTTCTTTTTCGTCTCTTTGAAACTGGAGACGATGGGGAAATGATAGTGGCGCTGTCTCGTACACCTACCTAGGCCTGAATGTTTAGCAAAAAAAAAAGGGGGAAAAACTGGTCGCAGGGTCGACTGTTGTAGCGCAACCTTCCGTGAATGCTTACACAATCACGTCATGTGGTCGTGGGGGCTTTGAGGACTTGTGAAAATGCTTTGAGGATAATTGTCTGTCACCAGACGATCGAAATTATGGATGGTGAAGACGATGTGGATATTTCGAGTCATGCAAAACTAACTACTGAGAGGAATTTGATGGCAATGCAATGATTTTTTGCACTGTTTCACGTTTTTCACTGAATATTTATGGTGGGAGTATTGCAAGTTTGTAATGAGTGACATTCTCAATTTTCAGATTACACAACTGAATCTTCTCCCATAAAAATTCAATTGAAATTTCCAACAGTGCAATGTTTCTACGAGAGTACAGAAAAAAATAGTAATCACTTATTTGAGTGATTAAAACTAGATTATTCAGATGAGTGACAAAAAAAATAACGACAATGTCAAGTGCTCATGCAGTCGTGTTAACACAATTGTTATTCAACTTACAGGTAGTGAAATGTTTTCATGAAACTCAGGCATGTGATCGAGCTCTTGTTTTATAGCCGCCTGTGCCTGCGACGACGGTGACATTGTCCTACCCCCATCCTCTGCATCGCCGCCTAGTGTATTGTTTAACTTTGGAATCACTGCGGGACTCGATTTGTAACTACATTGAGATGACGCCTGCAAAAAAAAAATTAGCAAACACATGCCATGATTTAATTGTTTCAAACAATTGTTTAAAGTACAAAAGAAAAATCAATCAGGAGCGATGAGTTCGCGGGTAATAAGTCGATAGGACTAATGAGTAACTTTTCAAAGAATTTCATTTGAATCGACGAGAAATAACGAGTCTTTTGTAGAAAACTCTTTCAATTTTCATTTGCATTTCCATACAAAAGGGTCTTGACAAAAATTTTACAATCTCTCCTAAATTGTGAAGCATTACTCCAGAACTCGATTTACGAACAAGTCGACTTTATGCCTTTTAACTAAATTATTTTTAGTCATCTTTTTGTTTGTCTCTTTCGACGGGGAATAATAGCTCATGAACGTTATGTTGAAGCGGTAAAATTATGGGACAGCTGATGTGATAAAAGGCAACGATGTATAGGAAATTTGTACCAGTCCAATTCCCAAGGTCGTGCGAAACGTTATTTGAAGAGCTGAGTAATCAGTCATTCGTTCATGTCTCAACGGGTATACGAATTGGTAAAGATAATAATTAGCATTTATATTTAGGTGCGAAAGCAAATAGACGTAATGAAAAGTTGCAAAGGTTGAGGTTTGTCCGATGGAAAAAAAAAAAAATTCAATAGTTCGAGCGGTTAAACTTTCCACAGCATACAGCGATGCCATCTGAATGCTGTGGCAGTTGCTAACATCATTGTTTCCGTTGGCAGACTTTTCAAGGACACCAGGTACTACAAATCCAGTTGGAATAAAAATAATTATCATGCCTGCCCATATGCGAGGCCGAGTGAAACGGAAGAAGAGACAAAATAAGAGGAGCGAAAAAAAATTGAAATGAGAGAAAAAAAAATGACTAAAATACACTGCCTCCCAGCTAAATAATATTCGCGGAGAAAGGGACTGTACTCGTAAAAAAAAAGGACGAAAATATGTCTGACTTAACGCACGAAGAATCCTAGACCAAATCTAGGCCAAATGAGATGGATATTAGGACCGGTGGGTGAAAGTTTTTTGAAAGTTGGCGACGAAAATTGAAGGACTCTCTACTAAGGGGCAATATCCAGTGACTTTATCAGGATAGACAAACTGGGTGTCGAGATAAGAAAATCGTCACTGATATTTTTCCGTTGAGACTTTGTACGAATTTTCGAGCCAAGGGCAACCAACAAAAATTAATCAAATTCCTCAGGTGTTTGTAGGCTCGTCAAATTGATTAGGATCTCCCCAGGATCATGCGTGTTCATGTGAATAAAATCATAATCCCCGCGGTAATGAGATTTTTATACCGATTAATTAACACACTTGAATCTAGTCTCTAATTAGTTAACAGATGTGGCACAGGGTTCAGTGGATTATTAAATGCACTGCGTTAAATAAATACAATTCCAATTAAGCTGAGGAGATTCACTATCAGGTGGCATTCTATTCGGTGAGATCCCTTCAGCCTCAACTATTAATATCAAATCCTCTATTTCCATAATCTCACACTGAGAAAATATAATAAAATTCAGGTAAAGATGTTAATATAATTTTGCACTTTTGGTAATTATTTTGGATGAAAACTTGGGATGTGAACGAAAAAAGTAAAATGGGACTCATCTCATTTTGGTCTTGACTACCGAATATTGCCGTGAATTTTTCTCTGCCCAGACAATGAGAAAAAAATGTACATCCACAGGATGAGCACCAATAAAATCGGACAATTGTAGTGCAGCAATGGTTCAATTTACATGAATATGTTTACGCATGCCTATTAATATTTCGGAGTCACGTGAATGAAAATATGATGTCACATGGCCAAACATCGCGAGGAGCGCGTGTCCCTCGTCGAAAAAAAAAATGAAATAATTAATCCTATGATATATCGTACCTGAGAGTCAGACAGGAACCGTTCGCTGGGCGGTCCAGTGAGTGAAACATCGTAATTTCTAGATATTTTTCGTTTCCTGTTTTCAGAATGTGGCTGTAGGTTAGGTGAATCACTCTGCCTAACATTGCTCTGTGTCTCAGGCTCTGGTGATGGGCTCCTCTCCTCGATTTGATTATTTACACTATTATCGGTCAATCCACGTATCTGTAACGCCTCAGCTGTCTTCAGGAACATTGGTAATAGATGTTGGCTAACATTAACCTCTCCTTTATACATAAAATGCAGCAGTGCTTTCATCTCCGTATCTTTGACATCCTTCAAAAATATTATCGGATGAGGATGGGTATTTTGTAGAAATACATTCTCAAAATATGGACTGCACGCTGATAATATCGTTTGATGTGCTTTGAATTGTTTTATGTGCGTCTCATTAACGCAGGCAAGTGTAACGTCACATAGTGCTTCTCTTGCCAATAGTGAGCTGAGTACGTCCGTCAAGTTGGCCGGATGATTGTTCCACCGAAGGCAATACTGCTGGTCCATCTTGTCTATCGCCAATCCCGTCCCTACAACCAAACTTACTGAAGTTCCACTTGTATTAAAATAAAGACACTTTGATGTTTTTATTTACTCCAACCCCCCAGCCCACCCCACCACCACCACCACCATCCCCAATCATAAATTCACACTTATTGTGGATATAACCCTTAGACCCTGACTCGCACGTTACTTTTATCTATTTATCTCCTTCCGTTCCCCTCTCCCTCCTTACTTCGAAAAACTTGGCTGCTTCTTCTTCTCTCTTTTTCGCTCTATATTCCTATCTCTCTCGCTCTCTATCTCACTATCCCTCTTTTTCTAGTCACTGTACAAACAATCTCCTTCTTTATTTTATAAATTTTGAAAAACACTGTGCTCACGTCTGCCAATGATTATCGCTATTGTGAGAGGACGGGCCAGGCCCAAACCCAGCCAGCTGTAATATTTTCCCTCAACTATCCACACCGTCTCTAGGCCCACTCTACGCTTCTGCAAATGTGCCACATTGCAGTATAACTGTAAAACCCTTCAGGGTTCACGAGCCGCTACTATACGTGCCAAAAACATTTTTTCGCATAACCTCATCAACGCTTTTTCTAGTCCCCAACAACAATATATCAATGATGCACAATAATACTGGGTTACAAACCTCGGATTCGCCCCTGGGTTTAATATTACGACTCGTCTAATGGGGGAAGGGGGAGGGTATTTATCGTTGCACACATGAACACATTTGAGTTTAGGTTAGAGGGATTATTGCGACGCAGTTACTGGAGCAACTGCAATTTTTTTTCTCTCACACACCCACGTTATTTACAAAATTTTTCACCGTTCCGCGTTGGTTGGGAGGGGGGAGGGGGGGTTGGAGCGAGGGAGGGAAAAAATGAAAATGGTGGCGGGTGATTTTTTTTTTTTTCGTTTTTTTTTTTGGTGAGAGTGGAGGAGGAAAAATGGAGGAAAAAAAAATGTTGTTAATGCGGAGATAATGTTTTCGGCACTGTCAATATTCGCGATGCTTGGGCGCCATTGTCGGTCGTGGTTCTATGGCACACGAGACTCCACACAAGCGAAAATGTACTATTTGTTGACGAGGCGACGCCAGACGCCGAGTATTCTCTCGTTGCCACGGCGTGCTACTTCGATTTATTCCCCTCTTGTCCCCCATAGAATGCCCCCCCTTGTTCCTCTCCTGCCCCCTCGCAACCTTTTTTTCCCCCTGAGTATTTACCGTGAAATGAGAAATTTTTTTTTTTCGTTTCTATACCCCACACCACACAGTACACTACAACTCACTGGCTCTCCGTGTTATGGTTATTTATATTGTTTATAGTCGGGTAATGATTACTCACCTTTTGCAAACTTTTTGCCATTACAACGCCACCCAACCCTTAATGTCCACTGCCATACCAATCTGCCAATGCCTACGGCCTTATTTTTAAAATACTTTTGACCTTCGTGCATCTGCCGTGTGGCGGGCGACGGACAGACGATTGCTCTCCTACTGGCTGACAGCGTAAACTCAGTGCTGTCGGCGCGTGAAAAAGTGCCGCGCAATTCAAACCCTTGAATTTGTGCGTCGATGCATTTCCCGGGTATTCGGTATACGAGCACTTTTAGTATCGCGCGTGACAAATAATGCATTACACCTGGGTCATTATCAATCACCATTCTTGACAGTTATCTGTCAATTTTTTATTCTTTTGTAATAATCTTCAAGGTGGAAAAAAATTCGATGCCACTGCACGTACGGCTGATTTCGAATTCTTCATGTTTTCCTTTCGTGAAAAATGTTTGAGATATTTGCGAGATCTCCGCGGTGTCTTTTGTTCACCCACTTTTTCTTTCGTTTTTTAAATTATTTGAGGTTCTCTTTTTTAAGGTTTTTATCGGTGGACTTGTTGACTCACTTTTCTCGTGGCTCTGCGGAAATTTCGGGGTTATTTGGAGGGTGGAAGGCATTTGGGTTATGGGAGATTTTAGTCGGTTGTATTTACTCGGATTCGAATGTGGATTTAGTGGTGGTCTGGGCGGAAATTCTCGGAGCGCTCATCGATTTAGATTGGGAATCCAACGGTGGTGGGTAAATACGAGGAGGAAATCCTTTTATGGCGTGTAATACCGAGTTTTTTTTTTGGTAATAACTTTGAAGAGTTCGAATAAACACTGGAAAATTTTAGGCGGGATAAATGAAACGTGGAGCCTCGACTACTGGCCGTCAGAGTTCGCTGCCATTTGGAGGCGCGACTCCTAGAATCTGTCTCATTTCACTGGCAGTGACGGCTGTAACTTTATTCAACACTTCCTGTACCAACTCAACATTGCTGGCACCCCGTGTTTTCCCGTAATCACGTTATCCCGAGACTGGGTATGAACACTAAATCAATTACCCGAGTTGGTCACTACAATTTTTTTTATTATTTTATTACTGTACTCTGTCGTGTGGTCGCGCGCTGATATTTGGAAGCAACATTGTAATTTCATTTGTTAGTTCACCAAGAATTCAAAAAGAACAGTAATTCCCGATACTGTATTTAATGAGATAATTTATGGACAATGGAACGGAAATTATAATCAATATGGGGAGAATAATTTAATGAAAAATGTTGGAAAATTGTTTGCGGAATTTTCTCACGATTATAAAGGACCAGTCTGATGACTGGATTTGATGTGATACTCGTGCATCACTCGCATATCAACCAGAACCTAACGAAGAGGAACATGAAAAAATAAACAATCCGAAATGATTGAATTTTCATGGGAAAACTTCGAAATGTTTTTTTTTGCTCCAATCGTCGAAAACTCTGTTACCGAGTCAATTGACATTTGTCATCGAATAAAGTGCCAATTCACCGGCTAATTGCAATACGCGTCCTACACTCCAAAAAGCCTCTACACAAACAACAGAGAACGATTCATTGTTTATTTTTTCAATGTGTCCTAAAAGAATTGAAACAATGGAATTCAGACTCAATAATAGAAATATTTTTTGTCGGTATAGAAATATAATGAAAGAGTCCAAATCATAACAACAAAAGTGATAGTGAGTTGTATCGCAGTATTGATAAATACTTATGAAGTCGATTGTATCGATGTGTCTGGCAAATAAAATGAATACATTGGACCAATAATTTTGGACAGAGATGATCCACGAGCTTTTGTACTGGACTCCTGCCAATTTTCCATTCAGGTGGGGATGAAATTTATTATTCGAATGGGATTTACCGCAGATCTACCCCCGGCAATCACTGGTAATTCTATAGAATTTTCGCGTTATCAAAAAGCCCTGGATGCATTTCCAAATGGTAATTGCAATTGAAGAGGCTAGAGGCAATTGATATAGTCCAGAGATGGAGTGAATTCAGCGGGGATCAGTTCAATACTGGCTGCTCGTTGCTAAAATTTCACCCTCGTATGGCTCGCTTAACATTAACAAATGATAATTAGCCCCGTGAATCACAGAGCTCGTCATACCATGGGTGAAATTAATTTTACCACTCGTGAGAGGGCTAAAATCCAGCGCTAATTCTTTTTAACGCACGGGGCTAATCGAGTAAAGTTGTCATTAATTGGAATTGCAGGTGAGGCTAAGTCTATTGAATTTATTCAATTTATGCGCTAGGAGCATTTTCAGAGAAATCCTGGGGCTAACAGGATGAATTGCGGTTTTGCCGTTAAAAGTGTTGAATATTTTCAGCAGATTTTATTCTGCAAATTTTTCGCTCCACCAATTAATAATTTCACGTGTACTTTTGTATAAATTTCACTACAGCTCACGGAGAGATTTTCTCGATCTTTTTTATGTAATTGAATTTTAAATATTCCTTGGATTCTCGATGAGAAATACTTCAACAGCTGTTGCTCCAAATTCACTCCAAAAAATTTCCAAAATCATTATCAGCTCTTGCAAGCGAATTCCGACCTCATCTGCACCTATTTTCCCATTTTCTCTCGTATTTTATTATCACCCACTGCAGAGCGGAAAAATCGAGAGGGGAAAAAGAGGGAAGTATTTCTCGATCGATAGTTACGAGCGATTTGAGCCGTCAATTCAGTTTGCCGCGCGAATTCCGGAATATTGACATGTACCGTGATTTCGAGTCGAACGGTAAACTGAGGGATTTGACAAGAGCAAAGTGGAAAAATACAGTGGCCCCTGTATCCTTCCCAAGAGGAGATTGCGTTCTGGAGTTCAAAGCAAAGTGTTTGACTTTTTCTCAGTGAATGCACTCAAGGGCAGACGATCTCCAGTGACTCAGAGGTCCCACCACTGCTCCAATAAATCGCTCCACCGATTTCCCGAATTTACTCTATGGAACTCCAATTTTTGACTGTTCAACCAGGATTTGGGGAGCTGGGGAATTATCGGGGACAACTTCCAGGAAATTCTTGTGAATTCAATTCACGAAAATGATTGTAAACAGACGGGATATTCCCGCGCTTTAACCTTGACCGATGAGCGCTCCAGAATATCAGAGCCCACGTCATATAGGGATCGATACAAGATTATTTCCGACTGGCACTTGGAACATTTTTTTAATACCCATTCCACATCTCTCACATCTTCAATGTTGATCTTCCGGTGCAGACCGATTGCCCCAATCACGTCCCTAGATTGTCATTTTTCTCCCAGATGATTTTTTAATAAAAACCCACGGTCCCGGGATTCTTTACGTAAATTGACCCGCAAAATAATCGATTAGCGGTAATGATCTACCGATAATGCGAATAATTAGGCGATGAAAAAGCCGAAAAATCGTCGATAAACTGATAATGGAGAACAGATCTCGTCTTCATTGTTGTGATAACAGCATATAAAAAAACCAACACGGTAACCACAAATGCAAGTGGTGACCGCATTGTTACCTGGGTTATGAGAATTCGTGAACATGAAAAGAGGCTCGATGGGGCCACAGGTGGGCCACTGTCTCAATCCCCCAGCAGATTGTCAGCTGGACGGACTCTTCGGTTGTCAATTCTTCCAGACGTTGATCTTCTTACGATAAACTCACTGATCGACCCAATTACCATTCAAGTTCATAACAATCAGTAATCTCGAAAATGAATAATAAAAATGAAAAAACCGCACAAACAGCACAAGTGAATTCGTCAAGATAAATTCTCTAGATCCCGCAAAAGAAAAATAAAATCATGTAAAATAGGTATCGACGATTAAAATAGAATATAATAATAAATCGAGAATTGGATGATATATCGGATATTAATAGCACAAATGGATTAATGAAAATGGAGGAAAAAATCAGGTGTTATCGTTTGACTGACGTTTTCCCGACGGATAGCGTTGCGCGACTGACGACAAATGTTTCACTCACCGGAGGGTCTACTAGTAAAACCCGAGTGGATGCAGTTTATACAGTAGGGTTGTATGCTGCACGGCTACATCCCCCCGTAATGAATGCAGCAAGCATGTGCGCGAGATTTTATGTTGACCACCACCACTGGTTATCGACGCCGTTGGTTCGGCGCGAACGTCTACCTCGTACAGAGGGATATACATCCCTCTTCATCGTCCCTCCCCGGGATGCACGTGCTGCCCTACACCTCACCCTCCATCCCTCTCATGCACATTTAGCCTTGCGCAATGTACAACCCCTCTCGTTGTTACCAGCCCTCACCACCAATCCCTCCTCCATCTCCCTCTCCCCATCGAAATCCTCTCCTCTGTACCTCATTTCACCTCTTTACACCCGTCGACTTCACAGACTCCACCAACAATCCACCCACCTACACCTCTGCACCACTGCACCTCTGCACCCCTGCACATCTGCACCTATGCACCCTTGCGGTTCCACCCCCACCCGAAAATTCACTCGGGACTTTACCGGGGGGCGTCCCTCCTCGTGTACAACCTGCGGAGAAAAAAATATATATATGCATTCACAGCCCTCTTTCTCCTCGCGTGTCCATCCCTTCCTGGTGATGTACACCAGTCAACAACAATCCGCTGATACATTCGGCACTCAACGTTTCGCACGTGGATACACCGGAAGCCAATCCCTCCTTCAATCTCTTCCTTCGGACAAATAAACTCCCCTCTCGATGAAAATATCCCACTCTTTTTAGTCACTTCGGGATGGGGATGTCGAGTTGTGCCTGTGGGAATGGTAATTTAACTGGATGCTACCGGATTATTCGGGTTTGTCTCCGCGGAATCGGGAGACTTCGAAGAAAATCGACGTGCCTGGTAGAAGGACAACTGTAATTAATTTAATGTGCTAATGAATAATTTATGGTCAGATCATTTAAAAAAAAAAGGATAACTCAGCTTGGAATTATTCGTCGAATTTGTTTACTGAAAACAAACGGAAAATTTCTAGAATCAGAAGATGATATCGGGAATGTGCAGAATGCCACTGAATGTCTGAGTTTTTCCAGGACTTTTCCTTCATTTTCATCCTTCGGGCTTTTTTTTCTGGGTACCGGGTGGAATGGAACTGGAAAGCATCGGGGCATGCAGATATTTTACCGAATGTCTCTATG